AACGACGACAGCGAACAAGAGGGAGAATGTGAGCGGTGTGCGCTCAGGCGCTGCGGCTGCCGTTCTCAGCGCCGTCAAAATAAAAGTCCGGCCTCGAACACATCAGAAAAACTTGCCAAATACCAAATATCGGCCGATATATCGGCCTTGGCGATATATTGGTCGACCACTACTTATTCATACTGCTTTTGCGATGGAGACAGATCATAATTCTGTGTGTTCAACGCTTTTATTGTCCTAAATACAATTATTGACCTTTTTTCAGATCCCTAATGCTTTTGATTGTGTTTGACTGTGTGAATTGTGCCACAATCCTGTGTGTTCAACGCTTTTATTGTCCTAAATACAATTATTGACCTTTTTTCAGATCCCTAATGCTTTTGATTGTGTTTGTGTGAATTGTGCCACAATTGTCAAACAGAATCCAATGAAAGTGCAAGACGACCATATTGAGCTAACAATGAAACTCCAATGCATCTATTATAGAATTTAATAATTGATTATCATCATTATAATAGTATGCAATGCATTATGTATTATTTCTTATCCAAAATACAATTCCTGACCTATTTTCAGTTAAATATCGGCCAAATCCAGCTCTCTAATTACTTTAAAGGCAGATGCACAAATTGAACCATGCATCTTATTTCATAAAGAATCATAATCAAATCGAATCCATGTCAGAGTGAATATTTATATTCCTAGTGCTGGTCAAATATCTTGAATGTCTTACATTGCACTATATGAGAGACCAGCAGGGCGGCACTGCTTTCATTACAGGTCAAACGTCCACAGGCCAGGTCATGCTTGATCTGCAAGGCGAAAAGATACCTGTCGACAGAGAACGGGACATAATTAGACCAATTTAGAAGAGAGACTGAATCAGAATGACAGGCAGTAAATCAATATAAAGGTTTCAGTACAGTGACAGATGCTTATTGATAGAATTACAGGCAATTTAAGGTGTGCAACAATTACACAACTGATTTCAATAGTCTGACTTTAGCAAAAATATAAGCTAAAACATTATTTTACTAATTAGGTAAGTTTATTGGGTAAGTGTCCATTTTTAATTGGATTTAACTGTTTTTAATCAATATTTTCTGGTATTTTCATGAAAAGGGCTTGTGAAGGTTAGCCTGACTTCAGTCTTGCTTTAATAGCATTTCATGATGCTAAATGCAGCCGTGAACTATAAAGAGACTTTCAAATTGAGTTTGGCAGCGTTTCTCTCTCAGTATGTCCATCTGTTATTGTGATGCTGCCAAACACAATAAAATCATTATTCAGTTGATTATATGATCAAACAGGACTCACAGCTTAACAACTGGGACATCAGTTTTGCTGTTGTCTCAAGTTACATAAAGCGAGATGTTAATCTGTTTGTTTTTGTTAATTTGTTAATCTGATCATTTGTTTTGTGTCCTTAAAGTTCTATACAAAAATAAAATAAAATGAAATGAAGCATCATCAAATGTGAAGTATTTAATTCACTGGATTATCAAATAACAGGCATTTCCACATGGTTATGTAAGCTATTTTTTACTGAATTTCCAGCAAAAATAACTATATAATGATTTAAACCGTGACTGTGATATAAAATTACTCACACCATGAATTATGATTTTGGTGAAACCGCCCACTCTTCTGCCTGGCTAAACCTCTCTTCCTTCAAAACAGTGTTTTTGTTAACTAAAACTATTTTAAAATGTTTTCTTTAATAGAAATTAAGATGGAATAAAATTTAAATATTAGACTTAAAATATAAATATTAGACTTAAAAACAAGTTCAATTTGAAGTATTAAAAATACTAACTAAAATAAAAATTAAGCTAAATAGAACTATTAAAAAACTAATAAAAATGACAAAACACTAACAAAATTACAAAAACTGTAAAATTAAAATCAATTAAAACATGGTGAAAATATAAAAATAAGAATCCATTCAAAATTTTACTGAACACTACAATAGTATATAAATAATACCAATGTTATTTTAGTATCACCGAGATTCTATTAAAGATTTTATAATTTCCTTTTTCATTTAAATTTTTAAGTTAAATCTTCATTCACTTTGAATTTTGTGGTGTTTATGGGTTTAATTTTATGTGTGTTTGTATAGTTTTTATTCTTTTTTATTTCAGTTTTGGATCCAGTTATTTTAGTACATCAAGTTAAGCTGAATGAAAATAAGAAATGTTAAGTTTTTTATATTTCAGTTAATGTTTGTTTTATTTTAATTAATGAACATGCTTTTTTTTAGGTTTCAGTTTTAACTTAAATTAACTACAGTAACCCTGGATAATCCTAAAATAACACTTCATAAACACTGTCAAACATTTAAAATTTAAAATAAAATAAATAAAATCTTCAGTTTTCAACTACAAGTTCTTCGTTCTCTTCAGTTCATGCAGTGGGTTTTCTAACCAATTTCCAAAATGTTCAAGTAAGATATCAGCTATGTTTACATAATCCATCAAAAAGATTTTTACAGCTTGAAGTGTTTTGCAAAGGCAAAATGTCCTTGGACGAACGTTTCAGGTTTGGCGGTAATATAATATGCAGCCATCAGAGGAAAATCCAAAACTCTTTCTCTACTGCCAACAGCTACTGATAGTCCGGCCAGAACAGCGTGTCGCTCTGAGAAAACACAGAGACTCCAGGAAACCTGGGAGACCCAAATACAGTCTTATTCTGCATCAGATTTTCTCTCACAGAACCTCTTGTTCTCTTGAATGATGCCTGACATTCTAAAGCCGACAGGGAAATGTGCCACAAGTCATTCTGCTGGTGAACGTGTTGTAAAATTCATTACGCTTGTCAGGCAATGGCGTGCCGACACAATCAGCCGCAGAACATTAACATGCAGTTCGCCCATAAATAAATCATTTGTTAGGGACATTACAGCGCCTGAAAGCTGTTTCATGATTTACAGGCCACTTCATTCACTTTTCTACACGAGATGCATCATATTTATATTGAGTGATTGAGGCCACATTACAACCAAACTGAATGAATGTCTCCAACATTCATGTACTGAGCCTTTATTTATTGAAATGCAAACTGTAATATTTATTAATGACCTATAATATCTATCTTTTTTTATAAGAGGACATGGTCTAGAACAAAATAAAATACTATGAAGTCTGACTAAATATTACAGTATATCACAGTATGAGAAATTTTATGATAGCGGTCATTTTTTGTTCAGATATTTTTGATGGAAATTCAATGGAAAAAAAGCTTATTATTGACTATAATAAAAAAATTATAACATGCATTTTATCACAATGTGATTTGAATTATATTCTTAAAAGTATATTAAAATGTACATATAAACACACATACTTCTACATGAATAAATAAATAAGTTTATTTAGAAGTACTTAAAAATACTAATATAGAATTTAAAGAAAAAATAATAAATTAAATCTAAAAATACTAAAATAAATGCTAATTCAAAATATTATTATTACAGTAGTATATAAATAATGCAAATATTACAATATAAATAATATATTACTATATAAATAATATTAAAATATAAATAATGCTAATTCAGTCAGGACCACTCTGTTGATTAAGACTATAGTAGAGGTCCTAAACATTATTATGGCGGCAGGCTTTGCTCTGAAGAGTTCAGATTCAGAGCTGTCCACAAGCAAAACTCACTGAGGTTTGCAACCCACGAAGCCTAATGCAATTACCAGAATTTTTTTAATGTGGAACAGATATAAAATTCCATTCAGGAAAGTGATACAGGTCTGTAAATGAGACTGGACAAGATTAAGCAACGATTAGCTGATAGATGATTTCCGTGGACAAGACGCTAAGTGATCATGTGCCTGTACAAGGAGGAGTTGGGGATGGAGGAGGGTAAGCGCATGTCTGTGCAACAGACTAAGGCAACTGTGAGTACGGACTTATAAATCTTATTTAATTGTAGTGGGAGGAGTTACAATCAGCTGAGCTGTCACGCCGTGGTCTGCCTGAACTACGTTTGAGCTTCATTCATCACTCAAATTATTAAAATAATTTTAATATTCTTTAATGGTATAAGCATGAGTTTGCAAGTGGTAGTTATGTAAAAGGCTTTAAATGAATAGCACAAATGGCACCTGGTCAGCTCTTCTAACAGCTGCGTGTGATCAGGAGGGAAGAACTTCACCACGAACCGCAGGATGGTGTTCTTGGGTCCTGCAGACGGAGAAACACGATGCTGTCAGATCGTCATGTTCACTAGATCGAATCAAATATCAGTAACACCAGGATACGTACGTCTGATTTGTTTTAGAATCGGCTTCAGCAGATCCAACCACACCTGAGAAGAGAGTGAAACAAAACAAAACAACAGAAACACTTTGAATCATATTTCTTTAATGCAGCATATATACACAATATACAGTTTTATTAGTTACATTTACAATTGACATTTCTCTTAAAGTGTTTTCTGAGCTTGTTGCAATGCATTCTGGGATTGTCTTATCCATGACACTTAGGGCCTGTTTACACCTGGTCATTACATGTGTTTTCACTGATCGGATATCTATCTGATTTGTTAAAACGTTTCCATTTACACTTGGCCACATAAACGTGTCGTCGCAAAACGGATATAAATCCGATCTTCAATTCCCGCGTTATATTTAAATTTAACTGAGTTCACGTCAACGAAATCAAAAGATAAGCGCTGCATTTTATTAATTATCAGCTCATTTCAAGATCAAAGA